TAATAATGAAATTCGGCACTTGTCGTCTCCGGGAAACTTCCGACTATCTCTAAATTCTTGTAAAGAGAAAACATGAATCGGAGTCTGATTGTGAAATTGTAAGCGGGCTTCTTAAACATCTGGAACAGTCGGTTGCTGTTTTATTGGCGCCTCATCATAGCAGTGGTAGAAAGACCTGGAAGTTATCAAATTTGTCGAAGATGTCCACTTTTGCGAACAAGGTCGTGAAAACATTAGTTTAAGCGGGGTTTGCTTGAGGCGAACAGCTTATTTCTGCAAACTTCTGGAGAACCGAATAGGGTCTTCGCTTTTTTGTGGGGTGTTTGCTTCTGGAGTATGCAGCAATCTTTGTTGTCAAGCAAACCGTTGAAATTTGAGAGAGTTATAGTTTTAGGACTCCGAATTAGTCATCATACACACTGAGGATTGTATCGAGGTAATGATGGGATCCGCTTAGAAGCCGATTTTGGATTTGGGAAGGGTGGGGGGTGGGGCACAAGGAGAAAGGTGAAGGAAGCAACGAGATATATTCGTTGGGGCTATGAGTTGTAATTGTCAAATATGTGTTTTTGCCCTCAGATTCTGTTACTTTCAGACATTGCCAATGTCAATTCTGGTCGGACTGTGCCCTATTTATGGAATTTTATGGCACCCGCATCGCAATCTTATCATCGTTCCTCCAGAACATTTGAAGTAATATTTTATACAAAAGTATTTTTTACGCCATTCTTTTTTTTACATTTTGTAAAAAAACATTTTTACGAAGTATGCCAATCCTTTTTCTGTATTCATCTGTTCACATGCTATCAGTTTAGTCCTTCGGTTGAACTCGGCTCATGGGTTATGACGCAGGTGTCAACACTTGAAACCGACATACCCGATTTGCCCTACGATTTCATAACAGTATCGCAGCTGAAGAAAATTGCCGATAAATTACAAATGCGACGAGTCGGGAATGCTGTCCAGGTCGGTGTGCTCACATCATTTCTTATTGAAAAATCCTAAATACAAAAATCGCTGAGACAATTGATGTGGAGATCCCATGTTGGCAAATGGCACATTAGGCTTTTTTTT